GTGTCGGTAGCGCCTAGGTAGTGACAAATCCCGCAGCTGTTATTTTTCGTAGACCAGGGCCGTATTTCATTACCCCTTCACGGAGGATACGGATCCAACCGTCCCAGCACCAAAAAAATTTCCAGAGAACTCGTCAGCGACCGTATTCCATTACCCCTTCACGGAGGATACGGACCCAACCGTCCCAGCACCCAAGTTTTTTTGCAGAGAAATCGTCAGCAGCCTTCAAAAAAATCTTCGCGGGAAACCCTTTAAGCCTGAATCTGGACGCGTTTGTGTCCATGGGCAGTTGAGGAAACTCAACGCCAGTTTTGCACATCTCCATAAATGTCGCCCAGATTCAGGCGTCGAGGAACCTCAACGCTGCTAGTGGGACTTGCCCCCCGGGGAGAGAGGACAACATACGAGGGGCGCAATTTTTTATCCGATTCGAAAGTATTCAATAAGGGCATACTCACAATAGGAGCGAGATCTCACTAGCCATGTATGTGGAGTAGTGTGACCGTGCTGGACAGGTGGGTGGCAGCGTGAAGTAGGGAAAATAAACGCAAGAAAACATTTCATGACCAAACAAATAAAAAAAAACCTGCTAAAAAAGAAAAGAAAGTGCTCTTCTCACAGATGGTGTCTGCTCGAGGCAGGGTGTCAGATGTCAGGGCATGATTCACTGACCATGCCTGTGGCAGTCAAGACGACTGCATGTGAGCTGGCACACAGACCATATTCAGTGACAATGGGCCTCGCTGCACTACTCTAGAGCCTCGAAGTTTTGAGAGTGGGTCTTCGTTGCACCTACTCTCGATCGGTAAACTGTTGAAACCCGATCGAAAGTTGTCAGAAGCCACGCTACAACCCCACTCTCAAAACGTTGAGAGTCTCCCACTTGCAAAAACCGAATTTGCAAGTGTCATCGGGAGTTGCCTGCCGACTGGCTCGTTTTTCGAGAATAGACCTCCTGTCCCGGTGACAGACTTTGCCCCGTAGCACAGTGGTGCGGCTCTGTGGTCAAGTAGGACGACACCCAGGGTTTCGAGAGCTCATCTAGTGTCACAGGTTCTAGAGTAAGTGCAACGAAGGCGTGTATTGTTGATTTGGGAGTAGAGGGTGGAGATGTAGGTCTGGATTGTGGGAGTTTCTGAGAGTCTGCTTAGAAGACCCAGGAGAGGGAGGATCTGTTTGAGCAGGTGGGATCTGCAGATGGACGAAGAGACGGTCCAGTTTGGAGGAAATATCTTGCAGTTGCTGAGTATGCTCAGCCATGCTGTCCTCCAGACTGGTAATCCTGGCGTCCCAGTTAGTAAAATAGGACTGATGAATTTCGTCCTGCAGAAGGACGAATTCAGCTTTGTCTTTATTGTACTGGCTGGAGCTGCCACTAGTCCCAACCTTCTCCACGTCAGCTGCCAGTTCCCGCCTTCTTGTTTCTTTTCTGGCAGATTCCTCCTTTCTCATCAGCTCAGACTTTAGAGACTCAACTGCCTTGGCCTGTTGGCGGAGTACCTCCTCCTGGGCCCGTAGTTCAGCCTCTAGAGGGTCAAGCAGGAACGGTGTCTTGGGCTGTACCTGAGGCTTCGCTTCCGAAGTCTCACCCTTCTTAGGTACTTCGCCCTTCTCATAATTGGCCATTTTGGTCACCCACAATTCAGATAAAAAAAAATAAACAATCAATCAGAGACAGAGCAGGAGGTAACAAGAATTGAGATTTCTCTTCAGTACTCCCTCAATTGCTGTCCCCTGCCTGGAGAGAAGAGGTTGGTTAGTTTAAGCAAGTGAGCAGACCGCTTGAGGGTCAGGGTCAGTTTAAAGTACACTCAGCAAAAATCAATTTCACGGTTTTCCCATCCCTGCCCTGACACAACAATTGCATGTAATAATTGCAAATCCTACTTCAATTACTTACAGGATGCGGTCTTGTACTGATTAGTGTTGATTAGTAATTAGGCAGAGTGACTAATTAGGGTTAGACAGATGTCCACTGATGATCAAGATGCAGCGATTTACAGGTTACCCTATTTTTTGACCTACCCTACAGACTTCACTATTGTATGACCCTGTATTAGGCTGTATGCCATACCCTAGGTATGGAGAATTACAGTTTTCATTGTAACTCACTCAGAACATCAAATCTGGATGTGCGATTTTGATACTGTATACAAAATTGTGATTCACCAGGGACTGACAAAATTGAATTCTGGCGGACATAATCAAAGTTATGACTGACCCTAGTCTAGCCAAGCTTTAGCTATGTCAGCGCAAAATTCCAATTTGCATTATCACTGAAAACAGGACCCTGAATTCACCAATTCACTACACAGTATAAATCGCAATACTGTAAAGCAGCCACATATGAAATATGAGTCAGAGAGAAGGTCAAACAGGGTTAGTAGAAGTCAAAGAAGATAGGTAGGGGAAGTTGGATATGGTTGTCCCACAGTCTGAATTTCGATTTTCAACTGTCACCTGACAGACAGACCAAATTTCACTATCCTAATAATAGTCCCAGAATCGCCACACAGGATGAAGTAAGGAACACACTTACTTCAGAGTCAACTCTGAAGAAGATGCATGAAACCCTGGCTATGGCTGACTGGTCAACCCCATCTCGCCAGTTTCATCTCCTGACAGTATCCAGTGTTCCCACATACCAAATTGCCTGAAACTTGGTGATCCAGTAGATTACCCTGAGGCGCTTCACCCCCAACTGACAGATTCAAAGAATCCGGACTCCCAGGTGCCAATAACTGAGAAAGTCAGGGCAGCGCCACATCACCATGTACTGCGTTGCCTGGGAATTGGGGATCCTGACCGGGCTGACCCAATTCCACAATTGCCACCTCCTGGGATCACTTCCTTGCCAATCGCCAACCTCCAAATGAATCGCCAGGCTAAAAATAGCCTCCCAGACCCTCTCAGGTCTCTGAGCACCAATCGCCAACCACTCCTGCACAACCCTAGTCAGGAGTGAGTCACCCTCTGTCCAATTCTTCTCGCCACACACTCACTACCACCACCCTTACTGACAACAACCCTGAAGATGATGAATCGCCATGAGACTCAACTCCAATATCTCGCCAGATGATGATGGTTGCTCCAACTCATCAATTGCTTCGGAGTCTGGATCCAATCACTTCGATACCAACTGTCATGATTCTAGTTGTTTGTTGTCTGATGACCAACACTCACTCACATAGACTTCCAGGTATGCCCATACATACACAGAAGGAAGGGGAGTGGATAGGAGTATCACACCGCACAGGGGGGGATAACACAGCGGAAACCCTGACCATGCGATATGACAGGGTACACTGAAAGTGCAATTCACTCCACTCAATCGTCACAACCAGTCATAAAGAAAAGCCGAGCAGATCACATCCAGGAAACAATGAAACGATGATAGTCCAAACCCTGTTTCACACTGTTTATTACTCTCAGAGTCTCGAATTGTCAGGATAACTTTAGTAATATAGTGCGCTGCTAAAAAATGAGCAGCGCTTCACTCCCCAACCCTGATTAGCACCCGTAACACCCCTGAGCCCCTGAAACATCAAGCACCACCCAAATACAGCCTCCTGAGGGAAGCGCCACCCTGAAACAGGCATCTGAGGCCAAGCGCCACTCAGAGGATGAAGAAGAAGACCAGCGCCACAGTACCTGATGATGACGAAGTGTCGTAAGACTTCCCGAATGGAAGTCTGCAGCAGCGCCACCAAACCCCGACAAGATCACCTCTGAGAAAGAAGCTGCAGCTATGGCTGCAGTATCACCACCCTGGAACCCCACTTCGGAGGAG